TGTCATTAATGAAGAGGAAGACGCTAACCCTTCCGTAACACCTTGGCTTATTCTCCTTGTACTTTTCCCTCTCTTTGTTCATATTTGGTCCTAGTTTCATCGTTTTTCAGTTAAATTTACGGTTTTGTTGACATTCACTATTCTCTTGTTGTTTTTTATTTGCGTTAAATTTGTTTATTCTGGTATTTAGGATTAAGATAACCGAAAGGTATGTTATTATTCAGTAATTGACTATTAGTCGCCTCAAACAGTAATGCAAAGCAGTAAAAAGACTGTAAACAAATCAATATCACCTTGATTGATATATGTTATCTGTTATGACAACTACTCGTTTCACCATGATGTGCGATAGTGCAAAAGGACACAACAAGAAAGTAGCGTTCCGGGCATTACGAAGGTCATAAACAAATTTTGGAAACTGACGTGAATATTAACACAATACCTAAAAGGCAATACTGGAGTGTACTGCACGCCGATGGTGCCATAGGAATGCTTCAACCTATTATGAATCAATGAGATGTGGTCCAAAACAGAAAGTTTGCCAAAGACTAATTTAACGTTTATGTCAACGCTATCAGGCAATTGGTTCTGTCTGTCAGAGGTGAAGAAGTGGTAGGTTCAGAGGTGCGACAGCATGTTAGGAAAGAAATAAGTTTCTGCAGGCTAAGATATGCTGATTTTCCTCTGTTGTATAGCTCAATACCAACTTAATAAATCACTAAAGGGTGTGAGCTTCATCCCAAACCTACAAAAAAATCGTTTACACTAAGCATGCACTCGTGGTCGTAGACCAAATGTCAGGCCATTTTTGAGCTCTCACGAATGTCAAAACAACAGCAGTACAGACTCTCCCTTAGCCACTTGCCTCTACCTTTTACCCACACCATGACTAGCAGGGACGGCTTACTTCTAAGCTATATGATAGGAGGGACGGTAACCATTTCCCAATCGTGAACATTCCCTTTCTTGATAGTATGATAGTAAAATTTCTGTTTTTCCTACCAACCATGTATTACGGTATTTAATAGCTTGGCTAAATATCAGGATTTCCTTGATTTATGTCAACTGCTGACGGGAAAACTAAAAACTCACAGATGCAGATTGTGAAAGACTACGAGTTTCATTGAAGAAGTCGAGGTCGAGTTATCTACGAGTTTCATTGTTGAAATCGTACGTTCAGATTGTTTTAACTCTACTGTTTTTAAGAAGTATTCTCAATGTTTTTATATGACTACTATCCTATAATTTGTTCTGATGTCGATATTATGACAGTAAAGAACATATCCTTACACGACGTTGTATTCTTACATTTTTTAAAGTAACATGGCACAAAAAACACGGTCATTAGGAGTGTAGCGTTTGATTTGATTTGACGTCACGCTCGACAAAAAAAAGTAGAGCGCCATACTGTACATTTGCATATTGCAAAGGTGTACCAAAACAACCACTCGATCTGCCGTTGCTTCATCTGAACTTAAAACTAAAAATCTACCCAGTAAAAAGAAAAGTTCCGATCTGACTGGACAATGCAAAAAAGCGATTTATTAACACACGGTGAAGATATAAGATTTTATTAAATGGATAAAACTTGATATTTCACTGGTAGTTCCTCTTTCCGCACAAAATTAGGAAGACATTACGATTTATTTTCTTTCGTTTATTGTTGATACTTGGCAAAACAATTGTAATACGTTTAAATCTCTTTCCCACACTTTCTAACTGTTGCCGTAATAATATTTGTATATATGCAGTTATAAATCTATCATTGTATAAAACGTACACTTACAAATTCCAATTACAAAGGTCTATACTATATCGACAGAATACTTGTTGCAAGGGTTTTTATACGTTAAGACTGAATAGAATACACTTTCAACCAATCGTCTTGCATCCTACATCCACAATACAGTTACAAAACGCATTACAACGCATGAGACAGCACACCTTGGTACACGCATTTATAGCTGGCGCCACGAACATAATATATAGACACAATATACCAATAACCAACCCTGTGACAAAATACATGTACTATCCCTTCAGAATAACAGGTTAAACCGTCACTGTATTCTCCGATATAATAATATGTGGATTATGAACCTAACACTGAATAGTGGCATAACACAATTTCGTTACTTCTGCAATATGCTTTTACAAGATGAAACACAAACTAATTTGATGTTATCAAAAAACGTTTAACGACATATTAAACTGCGTGTTAAATATTGACCACCAAAATTATATTCAATTCTGGTATTGTTTTGTTTTCATTCAAATTATGACGCTTTTTTGAAAGTGATTTTTTCGACTATGTTGGACTTCAATCAATGTGATTATTGTAAACTATATCTAATATATTTTTTGCGGTTAGCTATATTGTTCTCTAAGATCAGACTGTTAATCAATATTCTTCCTTCCTTTGGGTTCATCATACAACGTGTTTCCTCAAACACAGTAAATAGCTTCACAATCCAATAAAATGGTGTGGATTATACAAAACTCAATCTGACATGTAACATATGGGTGTGGATTTTATATTAAATAATCTGACATGCAACAAATGGGTGTGGATTTCTCACTACACAATCCAATATGTGACAAATGGGTGTAAATTATACATAACACAATTCGTCCTATAACAAGTAGACGAAGATGGTACATTACAATATCCGAAATGTAACATATGGGTGTAAATTATACACTACACAATCTGACATGTAACTGATGGGTATAGGTATAGTACCAAGAAGTTTGGTGAGCCATTTCCTGGTTCACCTGTCCAAATCCCAACAGACCGTGTTGTCGTTGTAACCTTCTGTTTGTACAACACTTATGTGTTTTTGTCACATCTCTTGGTAATGTTTGATTTGTACTACACATGATGGTGATGACACGTAGAGTTAGATTTAAAATCCTGTGTACTGCAGTCGTTTCACCTTTTGATAAGTCATGGATACAAGACCAAACACCGCCCACAGCACTCCCTCCGTGTCCACACATACAGCTCGGGGACAGTCTATATCAGTATGTAGCAGTCGCAGGTATTGTCCATCACCACTCAGGAGATGTAGGTGTTTGTTTTTATAGTCAGCAACCACCAGGAATCTTTGACTGTCGTACGTCAAATCCCAGGGGTCAAAACATTGACAGTTAGTCATGCTGTTGTGTTGTGATTCTCCATACCTATATAAGTGCTGTAGTTGTCTGTCCAACACTATGACTGCTGGTTTGTCCTTACCGCCATCTTTTTCCTCATCTCTATCAACTACAGCGACATTGTCGCTGAGGGGACACTGTGATATCCTCCATGGTGAACACACCACCGCTTTCTTGAACAATGATATTTCGGTGGTGATACCGGGCTTCCCGTCCGGAGTGTACTCGGAAATTCTGTGTTTTGTTCCAACAAGGATATGCTCATCACTAGTAACACAAAGACATCGAGGTTCATCATTTGTTTTGAATCTCTCAGTCAGTTTACCTGATATGAGCTCCTCGACACTTTCAGAACATGTCCAGAGATTGCGAGTAGTGGGGGATACAGAGTTATCGCGTATGTGGAAACGACTCCGTATTTGATCTTGTATATCTCCCTGACAAGTAAGGCGTTTCAGTTTAGTAGTTAAACAGTCACTTGTCCACATTCCATCACCACCACTTGGACAGATAGCATTAATGGTACAAGGAGATTTCCATTCTGATATAATCTTAATCT